GACAACAAAACCTAAAAGCAATCTGTATTGTCGATTTCATAAAGACTATGGCCATAACACCGATGAATGTCGGCACCTAAAAAATGAGATTGAGAGGCTAATCAAAGCAGGCCATCTGAAGGAATTCATTTATAAGGATCGAGAGCGAACCAGTCGACGAAGGAGGAGAAGCAAAAGCCCTCACAAGAGAGCAAGGACACCCGACAAGGAGGAGCACCCTCAGAAAAGAGGGGTTTTTCATATGATATTCGGAGGGCCGACTGATGGAGATTCAAATCGGGCCAGAAAGGCATATGCTCGAGGGCACCACGGAAAAATTGAAGTGCAGAAGGTCGAAGAAAACGGTCCAGTGATGAATTTTGGACCAGCAGACATGGGAGAAGTCGAGAGGCCTCACAACAATGCCCTAATGATCACAGCTCAGATATCGGGCTATAAAGTGCAAAGGATCTTTGTCGACACAGGAAGCTCAGTAAATGTGATCTTTTACAATTGTCTTAAGCGAATGGAACTCGACATTGAGCTTGCACCCCTGCACACCTCGCTCTTCGGATTCAATGGCTCGGAGGTCGCACCCCTGGGAGAAACCACGCTCGCTGTCGTCCTAGGGGAAGGCGACTTGAGGAAGGTAAAAATGGTGCGATTTGTAGTGGTCGACGTCGAGTCGGCCTATAATGTGATTTTTGGAAGACCCGCACTCAACACATTCCAAGTAGTAGTGTCAACCTACCACATGAAGCTAAAGTTCCCCGTGGGAGATAAAGTAGGGGAGGCTCGAGGAGACCAGAGATTGTCGAGAATGTTACCAGATAGCAGTGAGAACAAACCAACGGACGGAGGTAAAAGAAGGAAAAAAGCCGATGTCAAACGAAAAAAGACAAAGGGAGAGTGACCTAGAGCCACATGGAGAATTAATGGAAATTCAAATCGGGGAAAAAGAGGACCAGACCACTAAAGTAGGGAGAGAGTTGGAAGACGAGTTGCGCAACAGTTAGTGGGACTGTTGAAAGAATTCAGGGATATATTTGCTTTTTCCCCTGAAGAGTTAAAAGGAATCGATCCCAATGTCATGGAGCATAAGCTTAATGTCGACCCCCTGAAAAAGCCCGTGAAACAACGGCTTAGACACCATGGCGTAGAGATCGACAAAGCCATAGAAGTCGAGGTGGATAAGTTGCTGAAAGCCAAACATGTCAAAGAAATTCAATTCCCAAAATGGATATCAAACACAGTGATGGTGAGGAAAGCGCTAAATAAGTGGCGTATGTGTATTGATTTTCGCGATCTAAATTTAGCTTGCCCAAACGACCACTACCCCCTGCCGAGAATCGACCAGCTGGTCGATTCCACAGCTAGCTGTTAATTGCTAAGTATGATGGACGCGTCCCAGGGATACCACCAAATTCCCTTGGCTCCTGAAGATCAAAGCAAAGTTAGTTTCGTGACGAGCAAAGGGACATATTGTTATGTCGTTATGCCTTTCGGGCTTAAGAACGCAGGGGCAACATACCAAAGGTTGATAGATCGAATGTTCAAATCGCAGATCGGGCGAAATATGGAAGTTTACGTGGACGATATCTTGGTGAAAAGTAGGTCCTCGATCTCGCATGTAGATGACTTGAGGGAAACGTTTACGACACTAAGAACATTTGGAATGAAGCTAAACCCGAGTAAATGTGCCTTTGGAGTGAGGGCAGGACGATTCTTGGGCTATATCGTAACTGAAAGAGGCATCGAAGTGAATAAGGACAAAGTGCAAGCCATACTCGACATGGCCCCGCCAAAGAATGTTAGAGAAGTGCAAGTCCTGACAAGTCGAATTGCAGGCCTAAGTCGACTCATAGCTCGGGCGGCGGAAAGGAGTTTCCCATTCTTCAAGTTACTCAAGAAAAAAGCTTTTCAGTGGAGTGACGAGGCTCAGATGGCGTTTGAAAAGTTGAAAGAGTTTTTGAGCAAACTACCGTTGTTAACAAAGCCGGAGCCGGGCGACAAATTGGTGCTCTATATCTCGGTGGGAATCTTTTCTTTGAGTTCTGTATTACTGCGAGAAGCTGGAGGGGCCCAACAGTCGATCTATTATACAAGTCGAGTACTTCAAGGCGCAGAAGCGAGATATTCCGAAGTCGAGAAGGCCGCATTAACATTGGTACTCACAGCCAGAAAATTGAGACCGTATTTCCTGAACCATGTGATAATAGTAAGGACGAATTTCCAGCTCGGAGAGACCCTGGGTCGACCTACCGTGTCAGGTCGACTCGTAAAATGGGCGGTCGAACTTAGCGAATTTTCCATCAAATACGAACCTCGACGAGCTATAAAGGCCCAAGCTCTAGCCGACTTTATCCAAGAAGGGACTAAAGGGGCAGGCAAGAAATGGATAATGCACGTCGATGGGTCCTCGTCAGCCAGGGGATCTGGTTTGGGAGTAGTCCTAGTATCTCCCGAAGGTGAGCAGCTCGACTTCGCCATTAGAATGGGGTTTAAGGCCTCAAACAACGAAGCAGAATACGAAGCTCTAATTAAGGGGATCTAACTGGCAATCGGGGGAGGAGAAACGGAAATCATGGCACATTCTGACTCACAGCTTGTTGTGGGGCAAGTATTGGGAAATTGCGAAATCAAAGAGGATCGGATGATAAAATATGTCGAGGAAATTCAAAGCTTGGTGCAAGGCTTAGAAATTTTTGAGCTGACGCAAGTGCCTCGAGAAGAAAACAAGCGAGCCGACTGGCTTGCAAGAATCGCAAGTTCGAATGAAGGAAAAATGAGGAATCATATTACCACACTGCACCTAGAAGGGAGTGCCCTAAGTGAGACAATAGAGGTCGTCGAAAAGCAGGATTGGCGAAGAGCAATCCGCGAGCTATTACAAAGTCGAGTGCCAGAAGGAGATAAGCAGGAGGCAGAGAAAGTAGCCCGATATTTGAGTAAATATTTTGAGATCGAAGGAGTTTTATATAAAAAGTCAATGGTCGGACCCCACCTGCGATGCGTTTCTGAAGAAGAAGGGGACCATGTCTTGAAGGAGATCCATGAAGGATGTTGCGGAGCGCATATAGGATCACGAGCCCTAGCTGGCAAAGCCCTCCGAGCAGGCTATTATTGGCCCAAGATCCGAAAAGCAGCTGAACAATTAGTACAAGGATGCAACAGATGCCAGCGCCATGGCCAAATCCCCCACATTCTAGCCGAGGCAATGACGACAATCAACTGCCCGATCTCTTTTTCTCAATGGGGAATCGACTTGGTAGGTCCATTACCGATGGGAACAGGACAAAGAAGATTCATAGTGGTTGATGTCGACTATTTTAGTAAATGGGTGGAGGCAGAGCCTCTGGCAAAAATCACCGAGGACAAAATGATACAATTCTTGTTCAACAATATCTGATGTCGATTCGGGATCCCAAAGATCTTGATTTCGGATAATGGAATGCAATTTCAAGGAAAACGGATCCAAACGTGGTGTATCGACATGGGGATCAAGAAGTGATTCGCCTCGTTTGCACACCCACAGGCAAATGGCCAAGTCGAAGTAACAAACAGAACCATCCTGCAGGGGCTAAAGAAAAGATTAGAAAAAGCATCTGGTGCATGGGTCAACAAGCTGACAACGGTCCTATGGGCCTATAGGACGACCCCAAGAAGTTAAACAGGACAATCACCATTCCACATGGTTTATGGGATGGACGCTCTATTGCCCATTGAAGTCAGCTTGGAATCTCACAGGTCGACATTCTATATAGAAAAAACCAATGAAGAGTTAGCAAAAGAAGCCCTCGACATGATAGAAGAAGTGCGAGAGGAAGCCTGGCTGCGATCCGTGGAGTACAAGCAGAAGATGCGTGCAGCCTTTGACAGGAAAGTCCGCACCAGACGATTTCAAGTGGGAGACCTTGTCCTCAAGCGAGCAGATGCTCTTAACCATGTCGGGAAGTTGGAAGCCAACTGGGAAGGACCTTACACCATCACCAAAGTGCTCGAAAGAGGCGCATACGAACTCGAAGATGGCGAAGGACGACAGTTGCCGCGATCCTGGCACGTGATTCATCTCAAACGCTTTTATGCCCAAGTATTTCAAACTCTTTTTGTACTGAACAATGGCTAATCAAATTCAGTAATTCAATGACTCTCAATTTTAAGTTGGGATTTTTTAGGTTTCCATGTTGATTTTATCATAAATAGAAAAATCAAGTCATTCAGAACGGCTATAAAGCCGGTTAACGCAAACAACTACAAAGGTGAATGCCTCGAGCGAAATCTCGGCAAGGCTATAAAGCCCACGACTATAAAAGTCGACTCAAACAACTACAAAGTTGAATGCCTCGAGCGAAATCTCGGCAAGGCTATAAAGCACACGACTATAAAATTCGACTCAAACAACTACAAAGTTGAATGCCTCGAGCGAAATCTCGGCAAGGCTATAAAGCCCACGACTATAAAAGTCGACTCAAACAACTACAAAGTTGAATGCCTCAAGTGAAATCTCGGCAAGGCTATAAAGCCCGCGACTATAAAAGTCGACTCAAACAACTACAAAGTTGTATGCCTCGAGCGAAATCTCGGCAAGGCTACAGAGCACACGAATACAAAAACTGACTGCAAAAGTTGTCTCAAGCCTAACCCGTCAAGGCTAAAATGCCTACGGCTACAAAATCACTTTAAATAAGTAAGCAAATGGGACGTCGATAAATCTACAACGACGAAGTTGTAAGACTCGATGAAAGCGTGAACACAACGTTGCGGGAACGTGATAACTTAGGCAAAGATACAATGAAAGATAACATTTAAAATAGATTCATTACAAGAATCGTCTCAATCTTTACAATTTGAAAAATCAGATTGAGACCAGAACAGACAATAAGAATAAACGACAAATAAAAGGCAATAAGCCTCGAAAGTACGACTAAGATATAACATCTTCGCCGCTCCCCTCGGGGATGGCCACGACCTGATCTTCATGACTGGGCCCGTCAGGATGGAGGGGGGAAGGCAGGGGAGCATCCAACTGATAAGTGAGCCTAGCCTCTCGGATAGCCTTCGCCTCGAGATCAGTCCACCAGGGGTAGTCGTCCGGAAGGGACGGATCGCCTTCATAACCATCAGGGTCGGGAAGCGCACCCCTCATTGCCTCCCGATCGAGTTTCCCAGCAAACTCAGATCCCGCCACCACAGCCTCCCATGCGTCGAAAGCATGATCGAAATATTGAATGGCGGTAGGGCAGAGCTTGTCGAGGAACTCAAGAGAATTGCAGAATGCCTTGACGACTTCCTTACGATAGGCATCGACAAAGGCAGCGCCTATGCCAGTCCTTAAAAACTACTTTTGGCCCTGGACGATGCCGATATCCGCCTCATACATGTTCGCCTCCTGAGCCTTCTCAAGGTCGGCCTGGAGCTTCTCGTTGTCGTGCAGGGCAACGGCTTTGTCGGATTTCAACTTGTCGACCAAGGCTTTGGACCCCTCCAGCTCTTTCTTCAACTGGGCAATCTCTCTAAGTTGCGCCTAGCATTTGTCCTCGAGGGCCTTAGTAGAGGATGAAGGGGCTTTAGTACCCGCCTTGAGGCCAGGGAGAGCGGCCGCCAAGAACTACACAGAGAAACAAATAATGAAGAAATGCAGAAATACACAAAACATAAATGCTTAACTAAGAACAAAACACATACCCGAGTAAGACATTGGGTAGCGTAACAAGAGCGTTCGTACTCGTTCCCCTCGACACGAGCCTTATCGGCCTCGGGGAGCACAGAGTGGAGGTATTCCGCCACCTTATGCGGCTCTGGATGATTCCAAAGACGAGACGGCATCTTGACCAACACATCCTTGTAAGTAACGGACGAT